CAATATCATTCTGAAGGATCCTGGGACGTTAACCCTGTAGTTAAGGATTCTGAGAGTTGAAAAAAAGGGTAAAGGGGACCCCTGACCATTAGGTCCAGTTGTGGCCGACTCTGGGGTTGCGGCGCTCATCTGGCTTTATTGGCCGAGGGAGCCGGCGTACAGCTTCCGGGTCATGTGGCCAGCATGACTAAGCCGCTTCTGGCGAACCAGAGCAGCACACGGAAACGCTGTTTACCTTCCCGCCGGAGCGGTACCTATTTATCTACTTGCCCTTTGACGTGCTTTTGAACTGCTAGGTTGGCAGGAGCAGGGACCGAACAACGGGATCTGATCGGCAAGTCCTAGGCTCTGTGGTTTAACCCACAGCGCCACCCGCATCTGGGAGTTGATTGGAGATTCCTATTCCCCTCACAGACCTGCAGTTCCTGGAGGAGTTTAACAATCAATCCCAGGTAACTCTGAGAACTACCTCGGGGGGGGGGGGGAGAGGAGTTTCCTAACAACTCTCAACAACGTTAGCAAACTATAGTTCCCAGAATTCTTCGGGTGAAGCCAGGACTGTTTAAAGTGGGATGGAACTGTTTTGTGCAGATGGGGCCTATGTAGGGATTTGCACGTCTCCCCCACCCCCTTTCTCAGGCTGTGTATACACTCTTGTTTATTTTGCAACCAGTGTTCTCCCACTGCTGGATTGAGAAGCCACGTAAACATAATGTTAAGCAACAACGCATATCTGTCCTGTGTCTATCCTGTCATTCCTTACGAAATGCTGCATTTTGATAAGTTTTTGTCCAAACCAGCTTTGATCCGAATTGAGGAAAAGAGCAACCTAGCAGTGCTTGAAGCTGTGTACTCAGCCCCAGTCCAATACTCTTAACAGTTAAAGTGGGGAGATCTGGGTCTAACCACTACACCACATTGCCTGTTTGTATGTACTGTAAAGGCACCGGCAATTCGTGGACCTTGTTGTGTCCTCCCAGCTGACTCTGCTTGAGCGTCTAAAAGATGAGCCAGAGACTGTGTACACACCATACATTTAAACCACATCCAGCCCACATTTAAAGCACATGGCTTCCTCACACAGACCCTGGAAGTGTAGTTTGCTAAGGGTGCTGGGATTTGTAAATCTGTGAAGGGTTATACTACAGATCCTAGGATTAAATGTATGGTGTGTCTACACAGCCAGAGGTTCCTGCTTAGAACTTAAGGAAGGAAAAGGGATTCCCTGGAATACAGGTGGGCCATTTACAGGTCATAACTAGGAAACTGATTCCCTGAAATTCCTGTTAAATCAGCTAATGGGATGGGAGGAGGCAGCAGATTCCAGGCTAACATGGCCAAGGAGGTAGGTTTTTTGACCTTTCAGGAGCAGACACTCTGCATCTGGGATCCGCTTTGACTGCCATTGGTGAAATCTCTTCTGCAGAAACAATGCCATAAACACCATGCAAAAGAGACACTCAAGCCATGCAAATAAGATGCTGTCAGTCCAGCCAGGTAGGCGAGTGAAGGACGTAAAAGCAGAGAAATATGGTCTTTTGCCAGCTTTGGGACGTGAAGCTCTTCAAGTCATTTGTAATAGTCTTTCATTATACGTGGGGGAGTGTTGCTTTATGTCTTTTAAAGCGAAAAACTAGTCTGGGCAACACCAAAATAGAAGGACAGAGAAAGAAGAGTTAATCCCAATGGAATGAGTCACTCCGGCTCTGGGATTGGCAGAAAGAGGTGGTGGAGATGAGAAGTTCAGCTGCCACAATGCAGTAAGATGTTTTGCGGCTTGGCTTATGACAGTTTAACTGCCACACAGCCGAAAGAATGGGGGTGGGAGAATCAACAAATTGCTGTATTCAAATGCTTGGCAGCCTATAGCTCCTGGTGTTTTATGCAAAAAAGAGGAGAGAGAAAACAGCAATAATCTCTTCCACCTGCCATTAGCATTTTGCTCTTCTTTCTGGGCTGCCTTTATGGTGCACAATATAATGGCAGGCAGAGGAAACCTAAGACCTGGCTGTGCAAGGCCGCAGTGCCTACCAGATGGTGTTGGACTCCAATTCCCATCAGTCCCAGCCAGCATGGCCAATAGTCAGGGTTGGTGGGAGTTGGAGTCCCGCACCATTGGGAGGTCACCATATTGTTGGCTACCCTTGGTTTAAAATATTTATATGCTGCCTGTTTTGAGGCAACTCAAAACAGACATACAATAAAATACTCAGAGATCAACTACTGGGAGACACAGCAACTAATGAGGATGACCAAGATGATAAAGGGTCTGGAAACCAAGCTTTATGAGGAACAGTTGAGGGAGTTGGGTATGGTTAGCCTAGAGAAGAGATTGAGAGGAGCTATGAACCCAAATATCTAAAGGGTTGTTTTGTGGAAGATGGAGCAAGCTTCCTTTCTCCTGCTCTGGAGGCTAGGACCTGAATCAATAGTTTCAAGTTACAAGAAAGAAGATACCAGCTAAACATCAGGAAGAACTTTCGGATGGCCGCCGAGACCACATAACCCCAGTCCTGAAAGACCTACATTGGTTCCAAGTACATTTCGGAGCACAATTCAAAGTGTTGGTGCTGACCTTTAAAGCCCTAAACGGCCTCGGCCCAGTATACCTGAAGGAGGGTCTCCACCCACATTGTTCAGCCCAGACACTGAGGTCCAGCTCTGAGGGCCTTCTGGCGGTTCCATCACCGCGAGGTTACAGGGAACCAGGCAGAGGGCCTTCTCGGTAGTGGTGCCTGCCCTGTGGAACACCCTCCCATCAGATGTCAAGGAAATAAACAACTATCTGACTTTTAGAAGACATCTGAAGGCAGCCCTGTTTAGGGAAGTTTTTAATGTCTGAAGTTTTGTCGCTTTATTATTATTATTAATATTCTGTTGGGAGCCGCCCAGAGTGGCTGGGGAAACCCAGCCAGATGGGCAGGGTATAAATTATTATTGTTGTTGTTGTTGATGTTATTATTATTATTGCTGTTCGACTGTAGAATGGACTCCCTCAGAAGGTGGTGGGCTGTCCTTCCTTGAAGGTGTTTAAGCAAAGGCCATCTGTCATGGACTCTTTTGTTGAGATTCCTGCATCTCAGGGGGTTGGACTAGGTTACCCTTCCAGCTCTACAATTCTATGATTTTTAGCCCACTCAAAATAGCTAAAATAGAATCAACAGCAAAAGCAGTCCAAAGAGGGGAAAGCTAATGGGGAAAAGGCTCAATGGATTCCAAAGCCAATTTGGTGCTATGGAAAGTGACCTCTGCCTTGGACACACATATCACCGGCAGGAGGCAAGCAAGATGAGCTTATGTTGCTCACCTTGTAGTGCATGTAGGTTCGGAGTACTTGGCTAGAAGCTTGCAGCCAAATAATGGGCTGGTTAATCAATTCTGAACCCTGTTTCTCAGAACTCGTGTACAGTGTGTGTGTGTGTGTGTGTGTGTGTGTGTGTGTGTGGTCCAACCATAAGCACCTCCTGCATCCCTCTTTCTCTTGTAAAAGCCCCATAATCCACTTGGCTTCCAGAAAGTTCCAGAAAGGCTTCCAGAAAGGAGCACTGCTGCCATCTCCTCCTCACCTCCTCTCACCTGAGGGCTCACTCATGTTTAATGTGGACAGTAAGCTTCCTGTGGGCTTCTTGTTATTCCAGTCTTAAATTCAGTTAGATGCATGTGCACATCAGTTTGCGACACACATTTCTTCAAAAGTCCTCACAAAATTTTATCGAACATTTCTCCCAAAATACATTTTTTTGGTAAGCAATTGCCCCAAAGATAGCACATGCTTACACGCTACTTTAGATAACCTATGTGTTTTTAATGCACACTTTCTCTTAAAGCGCACATTTATTTGGTTGGAGAATTGCATCGCAAAATTTGAGGCAGTGCGGATTTCGAAGCTGCATTATGGTTCCTGGCCTACAAAGAAGCAAGCCCAGAGCACCGATTCACGCAGAGATGCACTGGAAGCTTATTTGGAGGATAGGCAACTCTGACCCCACACACTAGCATGACCCAACATGCACTTTGGAAATTAATGGAACCAGCCTTCTACCATTATCTATTTGGGCTGCAATTTCTTGGGAGTAAGCCCCATTTAACTTAATCGAACTTACTTTTGAGTAGACTTGTACAGGCTTGTGCTGTTTTTGTTTCAGCAAGCCTAGAATATTTTAGCCTCTGCAATTGGAAACTAGTGATGTATTTAGCCAAGAAAAACTGTCTAGGTTATGGCAAATCAGGCTGCACGGCACCTCCATCACTTGGCACGGCCAAACGCAACCAAAAAGGGCTTACACAACCAGAAACAATGAGGGGGTGACTTTTCTAGGTGATTATCCTAATGTCTGGGTGGTGCATGGAGGACACAATACCAGAGAACCACCCATGTATTACAATAATCACCGGGAACAAAAAAAGAAAAAGATGCTTGCCATTGCTTACAAAATGTAATTCACAGCTACAGTGAAGTAAAGAGGGCAATAATGTTTGACTGAGTCTGGATGGCCTGACAGGGATTCTATATTCTGCTACTGTGAAATTTTCTATACTCGGGGAGTTGGCAAAGTTAAATATAAAGACTGTACATCGAATTGTAACTTCTTCAAAGGTATAGCGTGTAAAAAAAAAAGCCCCAGATTCAAATCTGAACTCAGCCATGGTCTTAAACAAGTTAGGACTTTACACACACACACACACACACACACACACACAATCAGAATAATAATGCATACTTGATATGTTTTTTTTAAAAAAATATTCTTTATTAAATTTGTATACCACGGAACCTCAGTTTTCAAACGTAATCTGTTCCGGAAGTCTGTTTGACTTCCGAAACGTTCAAAAACCAAGGATTGAAGGGCTGTCAGCAAGTTCAGTGTGGGAAATGGAGAAACAAGCCGTACGACTTCCGAGGCGCGTTTGAAAACGGAAGCATTGACTTCCGGGTTTTCAGCCTTCGGCTTCCAAAATGTTCGGCAGCCGAGACGTTCAAAAACCGAGGGTTGACTGTACCACCCCATACCCATAGATCTCAGGCACAGCATAAAACTGCAATACAAAAAAACCACAGATACACAATATAAACAAAAACAAAGTCAACCCAATAACTCCCCTCTTCCACAACACATTTAAAAGGGCATTAGATGTGCCATATACAGTACATGCTATGTTGTTGTTTTTAATTATCGTTGTGGTGGTGGTTGCTATTATATTTAATACTCACTACCAAATTGTTTTTGTCTAAAAGCAAGCGGCTTACAATTTTAAAAGCTAAACATTTCCATCTCGCTGCAGGGGCCTCCCCTTGCCAGCTTTTTCTGCACTCAACGTCAGGATCTCCAAAGAGCTGTCAGTGTGGATATTAGAAACCAGCTCATGGCCTGTCATTGTTCTCTTCCATCAACGTGTTCCAGAGATGAGTGGGTGGAAACTGGAAGCCTCACTCAACTTTTCTTTTGTACCTGTACATGTCAAACACAAGCCCTGGCAACCGCACCTTCCTCGAAGTTCTGACTCCTCCAGCACAGGATTGTGTTCGTACAGGCTTCTAATTAGCGATAATGATCCGTCTGTCACTGACTGAAAAGCAAGATGCTGTCTGTCTGCTCTTTTAAAAACCAATTTTGGGCAATATAATAGTTTCATCAAGGTATATAAAAAAAAGAGAGAGGGGAAAAATATGACTTCAGATAAATAAGTAGGAAAATGCTAATCAAACAGTGAATGGTGACACTCTCTGGTTTCGTACCCACGTTCATTATTGACCCTTTGCTTCCAGGCTTCTTAAGTCCGGCAGTCTTTGTCTTTTAGTTACAAGGCATGGGAGTCTGAGATGAGGACGAGTGGGGTTGTAGCTGCTTCTTTCGACAGCTCCCTGAAACAGGGGGAAGTAGTGAATGAGCATTTCAAGGTTTCCAGGTCTCCAAGTGCAGGCTGCATACATATGACACCATACCATTCAAAGTACTTTTCCTTCCCTCAAAGAATTCTGGGCACTGCAGTTTGTGAGGGGCGGGTGGGAATAGTAATTCTGTAAGGGGTAGAAACATCACCTTACCAACAAAGGTCCGCATAGTTAAAGCTATGGTTTTCCCAGTAGTGATGTATGGAAGTGAGAGTTGGACCATAAAGAAGGCTGATCGCCGAAGAATTGATGCTTTTGAATTCTGGTGCTGGAGGAGACTCTTGAGAGTCCCATGGACTGCAAGAAGATCAAACCTCTCCATTCTGAAGGAAATCAGCCCTGAGTGCTCACTGGAAGGACAGATCCAGTACTTTGGCCACCTCATGAGAAGAGAAGACTCCCCGGAAAAGACCCTGATGTTGGGAAAGATGGAGGGCACAAGGAGAAGGGGACGACAGAGGATGAGATGGTTGGATAGTGTTCTCGAAGCTACCAGCATGAGTTTGACCAAACTGTGGGAGGCAGTGGAAGACAGGAGTGCCTGGCGTGCTCTGGTCCATTGGGGTCACGAAGAGTCAGACACGACTAAACGACTAAACAACAACAAAGGGGTAGACTACAGTGCCCAGAATTCTTTGAGGGACAGACTGTGCTTCCAATCTCCACATAGTGTGTCCAGAGCCACAGTGCATTCCTTTGCTCTCTCTCTGAGCTATCTCCACCAGCAAAGCAAATTGTGAGAAGACAGACTCCCAGAGATATTATTTAAGATGCCTAGCACCCATCTACAGCTTTTTTTGAGAGTCAAAAGGTAAAGGTAAAGGTACCCCTGCCCGTACGGGCCAGTCTTGACAGACTCTAGGGTTGTGCGCCCATCTCACTCAAGAGGCCAGGGGCCAGCGCTGTCCGGAGACACTTCCGGGTCATGTGGCCAGCGTGACAAAGCTGCTCTGGCGAGCCAGCGCAGCACACGGAAACGCCGTTTACCTTCCCGCTAGTAAGCGGTCCCTATTTATCTACTTGCACCCGAAGGTGCTTTCGAACTGCTAGGTGGGCAGGAGCTGGGACCGAAAGACGGGAGCTCACCCCGCCGCGGGGATTCAAACTGCCGACCTTACGATCAGCAAGTCCTAGGCACTGAGGTTTTACCCACAGCGCCACCTGTGTCCCTATGAGAGTCAAAAGCATCCCATAAATCATTAGAGCAGTGTTTCCCAACCTTTTTTGGGCAAAGGCACACTTGTTTCATGAAAAAAATCTCGAGGCACACCACCATTACAGCCCCGTGACGTCAGCGCGCAGCGTCACGCCGGGAGGGACGCACGAAAGTGTAAGATTCAATTTTTTCCCCTCCCCCTTGCCTTCCTTCTGTGCCAACCGCCAAAAAGCCAAGAATCGCGGGACCGCCGGCGGAGGGGGGGAGGGCGAGCGGAGGCAGCGGCGAGCCCCGTTCCTCCCCATCCGCCCCATTCCGTGCAAGGAGCGCGAACAGGTGTGAGAAGGGGGTCAAACCTGCGGGTCGGCGCCGGGGAACCTCCAAGCTTTGGGGGTGGGGGGGAGGAGGCAGCAAAGCGAGGCAGGAAGGAGAGCGCGGCTTGGCGAAGTACTCGGCGGCGAAGGCCAGCAGGTCCGGCGGCCAGTGCCGCAGCACCTCCACCGTGTAGCCCTGCAGCAGCTCAGTCAGACCCGGCGGGATCTCGATGCTCATCTTGTAGCCGAGGCGCGCGGGAGACTCAACGGACGGGCCCGGGAGAGAAAGAGAGAGAGAGAGACACGACGGAGAGAGAGCGGGAGTCCCTGCTCGCCGTCGCCACCGCTACAACTACTGTGGCGGTTGGTCGTGGTCGTCGCCGCCACCGCCGCCGCCCACCTCTATCTATCTCTCCCCCTCAGCTTTCTACGCGGGCCTCGAGCCGGAGGTGGGGGGTGGCCGCTGCCGCTTTCTCCGCCTCCACGTCCTGCCTCCTCCTCCTCGAGCCCTCCGTCAGCCCTGAGGGAACCGCCGCGCTCGCGCCGCCGCTCTCTGACACGCGAGAAAGAGAAAGGAACGGAGCGGCGGGGTAGTCGGGGGAAGGAGGGGCCGGAATGGAAGCGCGAGGCGAGCTGCGCATGCCCAGCAGGAAGCAGCGGAGAACGCCACAGAGAGAGAGAGAGAAGCAAGGGAGGGCGGGGAGTGGGCGGGAACACGCTTCATGCGTCACAATAACGGACAAGAGGCGCTCGAGGGATAGATTAGGACCTAATTTGACTTTCACAAAAAAAATAAAAATCTTTCGAATTTTCCCCACGGCACACCAGGCAACATCTCGCGGCACACTAGTGTGCCGCGGAACAGTGGTTGGGAAACACTGCCTTAGAGCAACCACATAAGGTAGGATGGTGCTATTATTCCCGTACCACTGATGATGGAGTTAGGCTGAGGGTATTGCTTGCCTCCTAGTGAATTCCCAGCTGAGGTGAGATGCGAAATAAGGACTTTCTAGCTGTTTTTAGCCACTACGCTATGTATATTCTCCAAGTTAAACGTGTCTCATTTGATAGATTCCATAGGCTTCCTCGGCTTGAACTTTGTTTTCACAGACTACTTTGCCATTGACCTCTCACGGTGAAGAAAAGCGTATTTATTTCAATTAATCTATATATTCCACCTTTCCTCCAAGAAGGTCATGGCAGAACACACATCAAATTCCTCTCCACAACATCCCTATTTTTGACAGCTTTGGCTGTAGGTTTGCCAGGTCTGAGTTTGCCGGAAGTTTCAAGGGTTTAGCCTTGTTCATAGTGTCTCCAGGGAAGAAGGAAAATCTCAGAGTGAGGAACCAGAATGAAGGAGACTCAAGCACTTTTGCTATTCACTCCCACTACTTTCCATATGTCTTCAACCTTCAGTACATTAGGTAAAGGGACCCCTGACCATTAGGTCCAGTCGTGGCCGACTCTGGGGTTGCGGCACTCATCTCGCTTATTTGGCCGAGGGAGCCGGCGTACAGCTTCCGGGTCATGTGGCCAGCATGACTAAGCCGCTTCTGGCGAACCAGAGCAGCGCATGGAAACACCGTTTACCTTCCCGCTGGAGCGGTACCTATTTATCTACTTGCACTTTGACATGCTTTCGAACTGCTAGGTTGGCAGGAGCAGGGACCGAGCAATGGGAGCTCACCCCATCGCGGGGATTCGAACCGCTGACCTTCTGATCTGCAAGTCCTAGGCTCTGTGGTTTAACCCACAGCTCCACCTGCGTCCCTTCAAGTACATTACCTGGATGTTAAATGCTATGCTTTCGACCCCTAACAGGCAACACTAGGGTCTTCCCTAACAGTCAGTTCCTAGCAAACGGAGAACTTCATGAGATCTCACAACACTTTGGCCTCACTTAATGTCACCCAATGAGCTCCTTGACTGAGCAGGGCTTTGAAATCAGGTCCCGTTCGTCCAGCTTAGTATTCCACACTGCTTTGGCTCTCCAGCTTCAATAGGTTCTGGGGCATGCATAATATATCTGAGATATATACATACAAAATGACAACAATGAGCCAGTCACATCCCCCCCCCCCAATTGCTAATCACAAACTGTATAAAAATAAGAATTTGTGAGTTCTTCATCCTTCATAAATCATACAGATTATACATTATAGTCTTCGTAGTGGAAAGCTTAACTGAACATTCAGTAAGATACGCTGACAACGAATTAGGATTTGCCAGTTAAGCTAACCAGATAAAATGTTGGAATCTCTCTGAAAATTCTGCACCAAGCAGTTTCCTGGTAGGTTTTCTGGCACTGGTTCCCCAGTGGATGTAAGAGTCACCTTTTCCCATCTGAGCAACAATGTGAAAGAAAGGATTAGGGATGGGATAAGATTCTAGTTCTCATGAGGCTTTTATGGAATCATTCATGTTCCATACAGTTCATGACCAGGTCATATAAGACTACAGGCAATTGCAGCATAAACCCTATTTGTGCCCACGCACCATTTAATTGCAAACTGTATTTTGCAACCAAGATGTCAACTTGTGAATAACAAAGCTCACACCTGACTTTTGTTCCTCCCAGTTACAGAGGCATCTTATAGACATATTTCATTACGTGGGCTAATAACACACTTGTCTATATACATTCCATAGACGAACGTGTGGTCTCTGCAAATTAGACACTGTTAGCAACAGTAACCCACATCATGGTGACTTATTTCTTGGCCAGAATGAACTCCTTCACTTTATTAATTTTTACTTTTTATTTTCGCGCATTCACATAAATGCAAATGTTTACATGAAGGATTAAACATCAGGCAGGTTCGTGACCTTATTAAAATCACTGATGTTATCTGATGCCACAATGAGGTTTTGTAATCAGCATTAGAACATGGAAGGGAAGACATAGGTTTGTAAAATAATAATATTAATATTAATAATGATTTATTATTTATACCCTGCCCATCTGGCTGGGTTTCCCCAGCCACTCCAACGAAGTCATCCTGTTTGTGCTTTTCTATTGTTTGAGTATGGTTTTTTTAAAATAATAATAATAATGTTATGTTATAATACATACCCAACATTACATTACATATATGTAATGTATGTAATGTACTCTATTGTATTGTATATGTACTCTATTGTATTTTGTTAAGTTTTATATACATTGATGTATAATAAAGATTATTGAAAAAAGAACGTTATATGAAATATTAGTGTATTAATGTATTATATGATTCCCCCCATTCGCTCCCCCCCTCAGGTATTATGTACTGTCTATCTTTTTGTTGTAAATTGCCTGGAGACCTTCATGTCTAATAAATGAAAATGAAATGAATGTCAGAATCTTGGGCAACACTGGGATAAACATAGAAGCCATTCCCTAAACAATATAAATCTGCTCACTTTCTCTTACTCAATATTGACGAAAAAATGAACGAAATGAATAGATGTGTCTTTCATGCAATTACAAAACCTCAAGGGGTTGGATATTTCACGAACAGAATTTGTCAAACCCCATCAATTATAAGTGCCCTTCATGCAACGCTGGAAGGAAAGAAGAAGAAGAGGTTGAACTTACAAGGAGCATCTACTTCCCATGGCAACGCCTTCCACTAAGCAATGTCTCTGGTATGAAGCAAGACTTGTTTCCTGTAGTTAAAAGGGGAGATTCTATTGTGGGAGCATAATCCTTTCATAACAATACTTTTCAATACTCCTTTTGCAATTAGTGATTTGCAAGGCTCCAATTTAGTAGCTGAGGTCACGGAAATAATGAATCGGAACTCATTTCATGAAATTCCATTAAACTCTGGATATGTATTTGAGGTTCCAGAGAGAGGAAAGGTCATTGTGGTGGCAGCGAACTGCTTAGCCGAGCCCTGCGCAACTAATACAGCCCACCAGCTACATAGTGCGGTCTTCCTTCCGGTGCTTGTTCGCTTTCCTGTTTTTGCAGTCCCAGGCAGGCAGCAAAAAAATATGTCCGTTTTGCTGCTGGTGGAACTTGCGATTTCAAAAATTCTGGTGTTTTCTTGTGGTGGCTGGGATTTTGAACCTTGGGCAAGTCAGGGGGTGCGGCTATACAAGGAAGTGGCTGTGCAAACCATCCCCTTGGCTACCCCTTGCCATGTGACTCCTGCCTCTGTTCAGTCAAATATGTAGAGATGCAGGAATCCCACACGGGTACTCACCCCAGTGCCGGATTTATGTATAGGCTGAGTAGGCTGAAGCCTAGGGCCTCTAAATCTAGGGGGCCTCGCCAGTCCCCCCGCTCCCCAGCGGGCAGTCTCCCTTCTCCCAAAATGTAAACCCAAGACTTCATGCAAGGGCAGGGCAACTCAGGCCCAGCAACTATTAGACTCAGGGCTAGCCAGTGGGGCCCAGTTTGAAGCAGTGGGGCACAACTTGAATTTTCTTGTAGGACCCCAGTTCACAGCAAAAGTCTGCATAATCTTATTGATATAAATAAAATCCATCTAGTTTGCCCTGGTGTAGGGGCCCCCTTAGGAGTGGCACGCGGGGCCCAATTTGGCCCAATTGTTCCAATTGCCTTAAGGTCAGCCCTGATGAGACTGTGCAGGGGTTGGACTGACAAGCCCTGCAGCTTCTAGGTCCCTGGTGTCGCCATTCAGAGTACAGACTCAAGGACTTGTTATGGAAATAAAGGGGGGCACTTATTGGAAATCAGTTTTGTCACCTCTTCCCCCCCCAAACCCTGAGATAATGAGCCCAGCCACCTTTTATTCACAGTCGCATAAGCACTACACTGCACATTACCTAAGAGCCACCAATAGGGAGCTCTAGAATCTGACAGCTAAACAATTGGGTACTACCAAACAGTGACCCCTATTGCTGAAAGCAGGTAACCAGCAGAGAATGCTTCAGCTGAGCCTTTGCACCATTGACTGAACACCCCCTGCTGTGCAGATAATGGAGAAAGCTCGTAAATTGTATCCCTTCTGGCATCCTGGCCAACTCTATTACGCTGGTGTAAACCCTGGTGCACCAGAAGCACAGAATAGCAGCAAATAAAATCTGCTCATACATCAGCAACTGATAAGACTTGTCAACCAGTTCTCCCAAAGTCTTCCTAAATTATAAAGCTCCAAAATACAGGCCAAAAGAGAGCAGGTCTGGGAAGAGCGAGGCAAGCAAGCACACAGGTCACCTTTGTCACAGCCAGGACAGAAAAGTTCCAGGGTGGAAACAGAAAGCAAACTAAACATGCTTTTGCAGTTCATGAAAAGTATCCAGCAATATCAAGTTATAGGAAAACTGCCGCTCTTAACAGTAATCCTTCTAGTTGGTTACTTGGATTGGCTAATCAGAGGCAGCTACAGGAGAGCTATGAGATTCAGGTGAGGGTCAGATGCCTTGTCAATCCCACCAGGTATATAAGAGGACGACCCGGCCTGCCCAGGCCTCCACATGAATAGGAGTTCACTTTTGGAATAATAAGAATTGTATGTCATGGTGTGGGGGGGTGCACCAGGATTTTAGAGATGCATGGGCATGGCCAAAAAAAGCCTTTGAACGTGTCCTTTTATTTAAAATGCATCTCTGGGTTATTTGTGGGGCTGCCTGGTGTTTTTATACATGAGTAGAATGTGTGTTTTTATTTAAAATGCATCTCTGGGTTATTTGTGAGGCATAGGAATGTGTTCATTTATTTATTTTTTTCAAAATATAGTCCAGCCCCCGACAAGGTCTGAGGGACAGTGGACCGGCCCCCTGCTGAAAAAGTTTGCTGACCCCTGATCTAGTCCAAACCCTTCCAATGCAGGAATCTTTTGTAAACCCACGGCCCAGAGATTAAGAGTTATATCTGGCTGCTTTTGCATTTCAGTTTTTGCAAAACAAACAAGCAAGCGTCAACTTACGTAGTTTTTATTAAACGTGTTCGCCACATTGAACACCTGAAGAAAGTCTTTTAAGCATAGATTTTTATGCCTGCCTGCATCTATTCATAGAATTTGAAGTTGTTTTTTATATATGGAACTGTTTTCCATGTTTGTTTGTTTTTTAATTGATGCTTTACATTTTTTATTTATAAAAATAATTGTCTACGCACTGTGTCATAAAAAGTTATCAAAGCAGTTTACAGCAGAGGTCGGCAACTATCCATGGCCGGTTCTGTGGGGATTCCATGGTGTTTTTTCCCTCTGCGCGGGCACCATTTTTTTGCCGACATTCCCCCCCCTCTTTTTTTAAAAAAGTGATATTTATTAAGAATTTCAAATTTACAGAAAAAAAGAAAAAGAAGAGAGAGAAAAAAGAAATTAAACAATACAAGTCAAACAGGTAAAAAGAGTACAAAACACACAATACATCAAAACCAAAAACAAAAGCAAAAAAAGAATTAAAAACAAATCCAATATTCCCATATCTTTATCTTTCATTAACTTGTTTCATTGACCTCCTCACACCTCCCTTTTTTTGTATTCTAATTATTAATTATCTCAGCAAATCCTTTCCATCTTTCACTAGATTCTGTCATTTAATTGTCTTAATTTATTTTAACCTTATCTTACCATAAAAAGCCCTAAGACTTAAAACTTATTTGTACATAACTCCTTATAGCATTTCTACTAAAGCCAAATAGTTTCATTCCAACATTTTTCTAACAGTCATTAATTTTACAAAAGTAATTTTGACATTCCCCCCCTCTCACCGCGGCGGAACTTCCTCCCTCCTTCCTCCTTGTGCAGCAAATTGCCGGCCAATCGCCTGCTAAGGTTTGAGGCCCTGGCCAATGGGCGAGCGGCGGCTGCATGTGGCCAAGAGGAGGAAGGGGGCTGGTCTGAGCTGGCCAAGAGCATTTCCAGCAGCACCCTAGGTCGGCAGGGGGATGGGACGGGAGGGGACGGGGGAGAGAGAAGCCCCCTCTACCGTGTGCGTATGTCCATGCACGTGCGCACACGCACTCCAGCCCACCAGGAGGTTTGTGGTGCGGTGAACCGGCCCACCCCCAAAAAGCTTGTCGACCCCTGGTTAATAATAATAATAATAATAATAATAATAATAATAATAATAAATAATTTATTTGTACCCCGCCCATCTGGCTGGGTTTCCCCAGCCACTCTGGGCAGCTTCCACAAAGACCAAAAATACACTAATATGTCATACATTAAAAACTTCCCTGAACAGGGCTGCCTTCAGATGTCTTCTGAATGTCATGTAGTTGTTGTTGTCTTTGACATCTGATGGGAGGGCGTTCCACAGGGTGGGCGCCACTACCGAGAAGGCCCTCTGCCTGGTTCCCTGTATCTTTGCTTCTCGCAATGAGGGAACCGCCAGAAGGCCCTTGGCGCTGGACCTCAGCATCCGGGCAGAACGATGGGGGTGGAGATGCTCCTTCAGGTATACTGGGCCAAGGCCGTTTAGGGCTTTAAAGGTCAACACCAACACTTTGAATTGTGCTTGGAAACGTACTGGGAGCCAATGTAGGTCTTTCAAGACCGGTGTTATATGGTCTCGGCGGCCGCCCCCAGTCACCAGTCTAGCTACCGCATTCTGGATTAGTTGTAGTTTCCGGGTCACCTTCAAAGGTAGCCCCACATAGAGCGCATTGCAGTAGTCCAAGAAGAATAAGACTAAGAAGAGGTGTTTGGACTTGATATCCCACCTTTCACTTCCCTTCAGGAGTCTCAAAGCGGCCAACAATCTCCCTTCCCTTCCTCCTTCACAACAAACACTCTGTGAGGTGAGTGAGGCTGAGAGACTTCAGAGAAGTGTGACTGGCCCAAGGTCACCCAGCAGCTGCAGGTGGAGGAGCGGAGACGCGAACCCGGTTCCCCAGATTACGAGTCTACCGTTCTTAACCACTACACCACACTGGCTTTATTATTTTTTATTATTTACAACAATAAAAGGCATAAAATGATACAATCAAAACCAATAAAAAAAGTTAAAAACAGACATTGATTAATAATGTGGAAGGATGTCTACTTAACTGCCTGCATATAAGTCTGGCAGAATAAAAAAGTTTTCAGCAGGCATTCAAAAGTTGGCACAGAAGGTGCCAGTGACTTCTCGGTAAATCACTTTGAGGTGTTTCATAGGATAGGCATACATTTAATAAATAGAAATAAATAAATTAAATAACTTAAAATTGAGATAAATGTGTAAAACATTACCGAAATCTGCAATGCAATCTACAGTGTTTCCTTATAATTGAAATTTTGATGCTGCAACATTGGGGCACACAGACAGATGAACTTGGCGATCTGAGACATTTTAAAATGTCCCATGGTTAAATGACATTCTCCAATATCTACAGAAGTTTTACAGAAAGGCTTTCCTTTTACAATAAATTGAAGCGAAGATTCAAGACATTCTCTCCCCTTTTCCTCAAAGGGCAGTGATATTTTCCATTTTGCAAAATAAAATTGCTTTCTGATCCAAGAAAACAAAGGGTGGTTTACAAAATGGAACTGTGTGCATTATTAATGGCAAACGTCCTTGCTTCAGGGTGAATGCCGGAAATGAAATATTGCGACTGCATCTGAAGAGTGCCACCTAATGGTACGTAAAGTATAAACAATTGTGTGTGCTTTTAAAAATATATAGATCAGGGGTCAGCAACCTTTTCCAGCCGTGGGCCGGTCCCTCAGACCATGTGGTGGGCTGGACTATATTTTTTGGGGGAAATAACAAACAAATTCCT